GACAGAGACATTGTGGGACAGAGACACTGGGACAGAGACATTGTGGGACAGAGACGTTGTGGGACAGAGACGTTGTGGGACAGAGACATTGTGGGACAGGGACTTTGTGAGACAGAGATCGTGGGACAGAGACGTTGTGGGACAGAGACGTTGTGGGACAGAGACATTGTGGGACAGGGACTTTGTGAGACAGAGATCGTGGGACAGAGACGTTGTGGGACAGAGACGTTGTGGGACAGAGACATTGTGGGACAGGGACGTTGTGAGACAGAGATCGTGGGACAGAGACAGTGTGGGACAGGGACGTTGTGGGACAGAGACATTGTGGGACAGAGACAGTGTGGGACAGAGACGTTGTGGGACAGGGACATTGTGGGACAGAGACATTGTGGGACAGAGACAGTGTGGGACGTGGACATTGTGGGACAGAGACGTTGTGGGACAGAGACATTGTGGGACAGGGACATTGTGAGACAGAGATCGTGGGACAGAGACATTGTGGGACAGGGACGTTGTGGGACGGAGACATTGTGGGACAGAGACAGTGTGGGACGTGGACACTGTGGGACAGAGACACTGCGGGACAGAGACATTGTGGGACAGAGACATTGTGGGACAGAGACACTGGGAGAGAGACATTGTGGGATGGAGACACTGTGGGACAGAGACACTGTGAGACAGAGACATTGTGGAACAGAGACATTGTGGGACAGAGACATTGTGGGACAGAGACACTGGGACAGAGACATTGTGGGACAGAGACGTTGTGGGACAGAGACGTTGTGGGACAGAGACATTGTGGGATAGGGACTTTGTGAGACAGAGATCGTGGGACAGAGACGTTGTGGGACAGAGACGTTGTGGGACAGAGACATTGTGGGACAGAGACAGTGTGGGACAGAGACGTTGTGGGACAGGGACATTGTGGGACAGAGACATTGTGGGACAGAGACAGTGTGGGACGTGGACATTGTGGGACAGAGACGTTGTGGGACAGAGACATTGTGGGACAGGGACGTTGTGAGACAGAGATCGTGGGACAGAGACATTGTGGGACAGGGACGTTGTGGGACGGAGACATTGTGGGACAGAGACAGTGTGGGACGTGGACACTGTGGGACAGAGACACTGCGGGACAGAGACATTGTGGGACAGAGACACTGCGGGACAGAGACATTGTGGGACAGAGACATTGTGGGACAGAGACACTGGGAGAGAGACATTGTGGGACAGAGACATTGTGGGACAGAGACACTGGGAGAGAGACATTGTGGGATGGAGACACTGTGGGACAGAGACATTGTGGAACAGAGACATTATGGGACAGAGACATTGTGGGACAGAGACACTGGGACAGAGACATTGTGGGACAGAGACACTGGGAGAGAGACAGTGTGGGACAGAGACATTGTGGAACAGAGACATTGTGGGACGGAGACACTGTGGGACAGAGACATCCTGGGGTCACCATGGTGGCACACTGCAGCTCATTTGGACCTCCCCAGTAGCACCGTGCTCCCTTCCCATCCCAGCTGCATCCCAGTCCCCCCGTCCTGGATGCAGGGACATCCCGTGCTGTGCTCGGATGCGGCTCAGCCGTACGCTCATGCTGTGTGTGCTGTGCTGCAGGATGACTGGGAGCGGGTGCTGCAGGGGTTGCACACAATTGCTCTTCTAGGTGGGAAAGCAAGGAGCGAGAGCAATGCCGGTGTCACTGGTGCAGAGCTCACCGCGTGGAGAATAGGCCCTGCAGCAGCTTTCTGTCCTGGCTCTCCATTGCATCGCCATTCCGCAGCTCCCTCCCATCACACATCCTCCCAATGCACAGCTCCCCATTTCCCTCTTCCCAATGCATGGCTCCCTGTTGCACAGCTACTTTCCCCATTGCATGGCTGCCCAAGGCTACTTTGCTGTTGCACAGCCCCATCCCCGTGATGCTGCTTCCCACTGTGTGGCTCATTCTGTGTTGCACAGCACCATAGCCACTGCTCAGTTCCCCATTGCACAGTTGTACAGCTCCCTCCCCGTTGTATGGCTATTGCCTGGCTCCCCACTGCTCATCTCCCTCCCTGTTGCACGGCTCCCTCCTCTTCCATGCTTCCCCGTTGCACAGCTTCTCCATTCAGAGCTGCTGCAAGAGGGACCCAGCACACCCAGGAGCTCTGGGCCAGCCCCTGACATCAGCGAGCACCCATCTCGCAGCTCACTCTGTGCCCATGTGCTGCAGTGCAGATGTGCCTGGCTCCACCACCACCCGCCCCAGCCCTGCCACCGCCTCTTTCCATTCTCCTTTTTGCTCTTACCACCTGCCACCGGCATCCCCTGTCCCTGCAGGCTGCAGGGATTAACCCCATCTGGGGGATGCTGCATACAGGGACATCATCCCTGCCGTGGTCCAGGCGCTGGTGGGGACAGGGTGCACAGGATGGGGGCAACAGGGCTGTGACAGCCACCGGTGCATGCACCAAGCAGGATGCTCCTCTGTGCCTACAGCTCCTCCAGGCTGTGCAGGGACCCAGCCCGGGGGGGGGGTGACGGGCCCTGCTCCCCCTTGGCCATGCAGGCTGCCAGGCCAGCTGGCTGTGTGAACAGCAGATGTCCACCCCGAGCCACCCTCTGCCGCGCCGGCACCTGGTGCCCAGTGGCCATCTGGAGTCAGCCACGTCCCCGGAGATGATGCTCAGCCCTGGCTGCAAGCAGCACCCGGCCACCGCCATCCATCCCGGGGGATGGAATGGAGGGAGCTGCTCTGGCAGTGCCAAGCACGGCCAGGTGCTGGTGAAGCAGGTTCTGGTTTATGCAGCAGGTTTGTGGCTGCTCGGTGCCCAGCCCTGCTCTCCATACCAGGGTGGTGGGGACGCTGCGTCACAGAGGGGTCAGTCCAGATGTGCCATCACAGCTGGGAGCAAAACACACAGTGCCTGCGGCTGCTGGACACCACAAAAACAGAGCTGGGTACACCGCAGTCTTGCCTGCCCATGGACTCCGCTGGGCTCATGGGGATGCTACAGTGGTCCCCAGGACACTGGGCTGTCCCCAGGCTGCCACCGCAGCTTCCTGCCTCCCTCCCAGCTAGGAACGAGCCCCACAGATGATGCCAGCAGGAGGGTTTTCTGCTTGCTCCCCCCTGCCTTACACAGCTCGCTGATTAATTATGGATCCAGCAGAAAGCTTTTATTACATTACAGTTTACTTCTGGCAACATCCGCGTTTGTTAAAAAGAAAAAAAAGAAGAAGAAGAAAGTAATTACTACTGTGGTGTAAACACCACAAACACCACTGGGTTATGGGGAGCTTGATGCTCGGGGTGAGCACCATGACTGGTGTTTGCTACAAGTCCCTGTTCTGTGGTAGGATGGGATGGGGATACCAGGAGCTGCTTCCATGGCACTGCTTGGGGTGAGGATGGAGAGCAGCGAGAGAAGACCCCATCCATCCCCGCTGGGACACCCCATGGATGTGGGTACCATGTCGCCAGCCTTGTCCTGACCCAACCCAAGGGGGGACAGAACCAGATCCTGTGCTAGGGTCCCTGACTGCTGCTAAAGAGGGAATAGTAAACAAGGTGGAGTGAAACATTTGATCTCCATCCATCTGCCAGTACTTAATCTCTCAACCACAGCCCTTGGGCCTCCCAGCCCCCCTAATCTGCTCCCTCTTGGCTGTTGGGGGGTCAGAGCTGGGGCTGCTGGCCATGCCCCCCACCACACGCATGGCATCAGCACAACTGGGAGATTGCTAGTTCCATATGGTGGGAGAAACCGGATTAACTGTCCCCGTTTCGTGGTTTAACCCCTGCGCTGCTGCTGCAGTGGTTAGAGGGCACAATCAAGGGGACAGGGTCCTGCTACTGCCCCCTATGCCTGCATCCTGCCTGCATGAGCATCTGCGGCTGGAGCCACTGCCCACACTGCAGTAGCAAGGGACAAATCTGTCCTTGGGGGCTTGCAGGGGATGCAATTGCCTTCGGGACTCCCCGAGGATGGGAGCAGCTCGGAGACACTCGGCGTGAAGTAGAGCTGTAAGTGCCTCCTGCGTCACGTGGCGAGGATAAGTGCAAAATGGCCCTATTATGATAATTGCACAAAATTATGATTGATGGAGATTAGCTGCTTATTTGAGGAAATGGCAGGCACACGTGTGACACAGGCAGGCCGGGCCACGGGAGCACGGGCAGAGGGGCACTCCAGGCTCTTCCTATGGTGCAGATTGTCAGCACCATCCCAGGAGCTGCTGCATCCCTGCTCTCAGGATGGGAAGTTCCATTGCGTAGCCAGAGCATGGCTGGAGTCTGGGATGAGGCCAGTGTGACCCATGCACAGCCCCATCCTGCCCCATGCAAGGCTTCTGGTGTTTTCTGCCAACCCCATTAAAGGTATCCCTGATTAGTGGGTAAACCTGTTAAACGGTGATGGCAGGCAGGTCTCTGCGTGATGGCTCCTTGACTGGTGCTCCCGGTGCTCTGCCCCACCAGGCCGTGCCATGGGGATGTGCCATGGGGCTGGGGAGAGGGCACTGGAGCAGCCCCAGCACCCCTGCAGCTCTCAGTAGGTCTATATGACTTACTTTGGGTGAAGCTGAGCCGGGTGCTGGGTTGGCAGCCTGCTCCTGCCTCATGCCTGGCTGTCCCCACCAGTGTTCCTTGGCCTTGGGGACCCTCCTACGGCACCAGTGCTGGGAGACCCTGCACTACAATGGGTGCTCAAGCCACATTCCAGCTTCTTCCTTCAGAAAATCACCAAGACCAGGAATCTGGGGAAGAAAAGCAGGAAAGGCAGGAATGGCTGCAATGCCAATGGCTGGCCAGGATGGAGCCATGGCATGACTGCACCACTGGGGCCAGGGTTTTGGCATGGGGTGGGCACGCCGTGTCGCACAAGGCTGAGTGCACGGCCGTACAGTGACAAACGGCCGGGGGGCACCCCAAAACCACCCACCCATCGCCAGAAGTCCCTCCTCCGCTCTCCCCTTCCCAATTTCCCGGGCCTCCCTACGCAGCAGACGGATGCTGGGTAAGAGGTGTGTCTGCCGGAGCCGTGCTTGCCACGCAGCATCCCTGAGCCGATCTGCATCGGCGCTTGCCATCCCTGGCATGGGCTCTCCTGTCTGGGATGGGGGCACGAGTGGACACGGACGGAGCTGAGCCTCTCCATGCGATGCCAGCACGGTGTCCAGGCTCCCGAGCCCTCACTGCGGGACGAGGACGTCACCCAGCTGCCCGCAGCGAGCCCCTGGCAGGTTCCCCGCCACCGGGCACGGCGAAGCCAGCTCATTCCCCTGCCGTTTTCCCCTTTTCCTCCCCCTTGTTTGGCTTTTGGCAGCAGAGCCACGGTGGTGGCTGGGGCGCGCAGTGCCGGGGAAGGGCTGCCAAGCGCCAGCAGCCCCCCGGCCCCCCGTGCCAAGGCTGGTGGCTGGCAGAAGGGCTGCCTGTGCCTGGTGGGGCTCCGTCAGCTGCGGGAGGATCCCTGCGCCGCGCTCGCTGCCAATTTCCCTGCGAGCTGGCACCGTGAGCGGCTCCGGAGGCACCGGCGGAGAAGGCTGGGGAGGACGGATTGTGAGAGGGAGAGAGGAAAAAAAACAACTAATGGACACATGCCATCGCGGGAGCGGCGAGGCTGCCGCTGCCAAGGCGCCAGCAGGCAGCGAGGGGCCAAAACCCGCCACGGCGAAGAGAGGAGGGTCTGGCAGCCCGTCCTGGCGCGAGACACATGGAGGACAGGCAGCGTGGCAGCGGCACGGCATGGCCAAGGCAGGACGGGTGGCAGACGGTGGAGCCAGAGCGGAGAGAGGTATTTGCCTTCGTTCTAAAGGCTGCGTGTGCGTGCATGTGTCCGCTGCCGGGGCTGCGCATCCCGGCTGGCTCAGCCCGGTGCAGGCTGCCTGCGGCCTCTGCGGCCGTCCCACCGCGCTCCTGCCTGTGGCCTGCCCTCGGCTGCCTGCACCCGCTGCCTGCCATGGGCAGGGACGGGCTCTGGATGCCGGCTGGGCTCGGATAACGGCTGCAAGGGGGGATTTGCCGTCGCCTGGCCGCACACGCAGGGGCCGCGAGGGAGGTCGCAGCTTTGTCTGGTTGGGCTTTGTCTGCCGGCGGCGGCGGTGCCGGGAGCTGTGCCGGGCACAGGCAGGGGCGGCGTGAGCCAGAGTCCTGCTGACGGCAGGGCTGGCACATGGGAGCCATCCCCTGCTCCCACACCAGGGCTGCCACAGAGCCGAGCCTGGGGCAAGGGGTGGCTGGGAGAGAAGGGAGAAAGGGAGGGTGGACAAAGAGCCCTCCGCACCCAACACCATGGTGGGGAGGAAGAGGAGGTGCGGGGCACCGGGAAGCTCATGGTCCTGTGGCCATGAGCCGCACAATGCAGGGCACATGGCAGCGGGTTGTTGGGGGTGCGGGTGCGTGTTGGGAGCCTTGGGGATGGGGATGAGGGGTGCAGGGCAGAGCTTCAGTCCAGCAGCACTGGTGCGGCCGCGTGCTGGTCCAGGTCGGTGCAGGAGCAGCGCTGGAGCCAGCGGTGGACACCAGTGTGCCGGGAGCACTGTGGCTTCACAGCTCTGCTGGAAACCATGTGAAGGCAAAGGACTCTGGCCAGGACCCCAGACATCAAACCTGGCTGGCACCGGGGGAAGGAGCTGGCACTGAACCCAGGGAAAGAGAGATGTTGGCAATGCTGAGCCCCAGCATCACCCAGCTCTTCCCTGCTGCTCTGCACCACTGAAGGACCCGGCCTGTTCCCAGCAGCACTCCTGTGCGCAGGGATGTCCTCGCTGCACCAGCACCATGAGGACAAACCTCCCTCAGGGTACCTGACCCCAGCACCCATTGCCTGCCATGGCAGGGGTCCCAGCATCCAACTTTGAGGGCATCAGCATCTTCCTGGGAGTGGTGTGCAGTAAGGCAAGAGGAGCTGGCCTGTCCCATCACATCCTGTCCCATGCTCAAGCATCACTAGACAGACTGGTCCATGCCTGGCTCTCACAGCCAGCCCATGCATCACGAATCCAAGCTGGAGGAGCAGCTCTTCCCATTCCTGCATCAGATACTGGGATTAAACACAGCACCCTGCTTGTGAGGGACAGACCATGCTGCAGCCTGGTCCACAAGCATCCCATAGAGAAGGATTGGAAAAGGTGCCTCCAGCAGCTGAATGGCACCACCGCAGCCCCTCCACCTCATTCAAACCTCCTGGGGCCGCTATTCATGGGACCACAAAGCCCTTTGCCTGCCCCATACTTCCCATTGCAGGGCTGGGGCAGGAATGCTCTCCGTGTTACAGAACGCTCCCCCCATCTCCCGCTCTCCCCCGTTTTCCTCCGTATTTCACAGTTCCTGCTTCCTGCACAAGGCAGGGGTCTCCAGGGACTCCAGCCAGATGTTCTCTGCAGCACACCACATTGCTTTCCTAATGAAATATTCATGGAGCCTCTCCGCCTTTTGCCATGAAAGCCTTCTGCAGCTCCCAGCCATGGAAACGCTGTGCAGGCAGCATTCCTGCAAAGCCATCCCCGCCGGGGTCCCGGCCCATGCTTCCCGCTCAGCACCTTTCCGCTGCTCCTCCTTCCTCTTCCTCCTCCCGCAGGCAGTGCCGGAGCAGGGGCTTCATCCCCTCTCTCCTTACATTGCCAAGGGCACACGCAGAGCCATGTGCTGGGGATGCTGGTGTGCCCTCACGGCCATCACCCACCCCAAGGCAGGGTCCGTGGATGGCTGAGAGGGGTGGTGAGTGGACGCACACCCCAACATGGGGCACTGAGGTGTCTCACCCCCCCCTTGCCAAAACCACACCAGGAAGGGCAGAGGTGGAGGCCCTCTTTGCCAGTGCGGCCCTGGCGCTGCTGCCGGCACCCAGCCAGCCCACAGCATTAGCGATGCTGTGCACTATAATCCAATTAGGTTGTTTATGCAAACAATCAGGTTTTATGTTTCGGTAAAAAGCTTAAATAACCTTAATCAAAGCGGAAGACCTGAAATTATCACCAGCGGGTGGTGTGGTTTGTCTGGTGGTGGGCAGGACACCCTGCCCAGCTCAGGACACCCTGCACAGCTTGTGACACCACACTGGCAGCTCCAGGATCTGATTGATAATCCAAGGAGGGAAGGGTGGGCACAGGGTGGCCGTGGGGGCAGAAGGAGGATGCTGGGGTACAGGTTTGCTGTGCTGGCTGGGAATGGGGGAACACATCTCTGCCACAGCCACCTCTGGGGCTCCCTGCTCTAGGTGCTGAGTGCCTGATGCTGCAGTGCTGGCCCCCTTGGACCTCTTGTCACCACTGTCCATAAACATGGGAACATCCCTCTGCACCAGGGTGTTGTGTCAAGCCAAGGGGATTCGGGAGATGCCAGCCAGCGACTGATCCAGCACATTGCCACCATCCCACATCACATCACATCACCAGCCTGGGCTGCACTGACAGCACTGGAGCATCCTGGTACTGGGAGGAAATACCTGCAGCTCCAGCTCGGGTCAGCCATGGCAGTGCGTGGGGGCACATGGGGGATTGTGCCACGATGTCCCTGTGCCTGCCTGGGGACAAGCATGGCAAGGTGGGGAGCAGGGCTTGCTCTGGAGGACCATGCCCGCTGGCACTGCCTCCTGCACACCCCAAATTTCTGGTGGAGTAATAAGCTATGCATGTAGTGTAGAAATAAAACATGTTCTGCAGAACAAATGATGTTAATTTGCTGAGAGGCTCTGAAGCTGAGTATTAGCGAAATGCCTTGAGGGAGAGAGCAGCAGCTGTGCTGGAATTAATGGCAACGTGCCGAATTAGCACCGCTATGCATCATAGTCAGAGGGAAAAATTACCAGAGAGAGGGGGAAAACAACCCCCTCCACAAGCCAGCCCCAGCCCTGGGGCACACTGTGGAGCAGAGCCCATGGGCTGCTCTCACCCAGCCCTTGCCCATGCACACCATGGGGAAGGCTGCTTGCTCTGAGCCTAATGGCCTCCTCTGTGAAGGTGTGACCTCGGGAGCGCTCAGCATCCCTCTGGGATGCTTGACATCACTACAGGGTGCCCAGCATCCCTTTGGGATGCTCAACATCCCTCCAGGGTGCTCAGCATCCTTCTGGACCAAACTGTACCATAGCACACCCACCCCACTCCAAGGGACCATCTCATCCAGGGTCTGCATCCCTGCTTCCTTCCCCTCCTTTGTGGGGGACTATTCATCTCCTTGTCTAGTTATTTCTTCTATTTATTCCTAGTTGTTGAGTGCCTGAAGTCTGTAGATCCTCACTGATTACTAACAGTGCAGCTGGCTTATGGCTCTGCAGCCTCCTCCAGAGCATCCGTCTTCCTTCCTCACCACCTTCCGCCCACCATAGCATGCCACAGCTACTGGGACCACGCTGCAAAGTGTGCTTAATGCATGATTCCAGTAAAATCCACACCTCTGATGAATATTTAACACCAAGATCTGTCTCTGCTGCCTGCTGGGGGGGAGGTCTGGTCCCACTGCAGCTGCTGGGTCAAGGCTGCTGCTGGGTCTCATGAGAAACTGGGCTTAGTGTGGCTGAACCCAAGCCTGTGCAGACATCAGTGAGCAGTTAGCCCAGGGGAGATTGAGGATGGTGGCATCCTGAGCTGGTGATACCCATAAATCCCCCATCATCCCACGTGTTTGTTGCAGCCCACAGCTGCTTATCCCCAGCACAAAACATCTCCCTGACTTGTCTTGTCACCCTCAGACTTGTGTCCTGCTTTTGCTTCTGCAGATCCCCAGCCCCATGGGAGAAGGATGCTGAATGGAGACACCCCTACCTGGTCCCTGGTGCTGCTGTGCCTACCGGCCCTGTCATGGGACAGTCCTAGGATGGGAGTTCATGATTTGGGCTGTGCAACGCGGTAGATGTGGATGTGCCACCAGTCTGGTACTTGCTCGATGCACCAACAACTGCCATGCACCCAACCTGCCGACCTGCTGGGATGTGGTGACAAGGATGGGAACCCCACTACAACGCCTCTGTAACCACTGGGTTTCAACACTGCCAAGAGCATGTCCAGGCAAAGGAGGAGGTTTATCCATTCAAACACCAGTACACATGGAGCTTTACCAAACACACTGAGGCCTGGATGGCTGCCTCAGGGGCCAGGATCCAACCTGGGGAGGAGAATGCTACAGACCAAGGGAGGATGGAGGATTACAGTGGCATCTCCAGCCAGGACCTGCATGAGCCCACCGAGGTCCCCAGGCTGGGAGCTCTGGGAACACAGTGCTCAGCTCCATCCTTGGGTTGGGAATGTGGCTGGGAAACCTTATAACCAGTTGGTTTCAGAGCAGGAGGCAAGAAGCAGGAGGAAGGTGCTGTGGGTGCTGTGGGTGCCCGGGCACAGACAGGGTGATCGGTGCTGCCGGTCACTGCCAGGTTACATCTGCTGGGGCATGCAAGAGTGACTCCAGATGCATTAGAAGTGCCGTGCTCCAATTTCAATTTCATCGTCTCACAATCATTTTCAGGCTCCTCTTAGTGCCACATTAACGAAGCCTGCTCGTTTGAATGCATAATTAGCCCAAGCATTCTACCTCGCTAATTTCGAAGCAAGGGGGGGGGGGGAGAGGAGAGAGTTGGGGAGGGGGAATTTGCATATTAATTTAGTAGAGGGAGAGAAAAACTGTTTACCACTTGCTTCTTGCTGTTGATCACAGCGGACTTAACTCTTTCCCGGGTGCCATCTGGAGCTGTGGAGCCGGGCGCTCAGCCGGCACATGGGATGGGATGCAAAGGTTACAACGGCAGCAATTAAATCCTCCCTCCAACGAGACCACCCTGGTTGCCTTTCCTGCTGGGAGCACCAGGTAGGCAAAGGGTGGCCAAGGCGGAGGTACCAGGTCCAAGGTGCAGCCCTCCCATGTGGCTCTGGGGTCAAAAGTGCCATCATCACCCATACCCCAAGGTGTCAGGGTCCACCCTGGGTCTGTCCCTCACACCCTTGGCAAAGGGTGCCAGGGGCAGGGATGCCCGACAGCATCACCCCTCCTGCAAACGGGTGTCTGGGTCCATGCCAAGAGCATCTGGACCCGCTCAGTGTGCCACCTCCAAGGGAACAGCTCTGTGTCCGTCGTCCCCCCCCTTGCTTTTTAGCATCACCCACCCATAATACAATGTTGGATGTTCACATATGCCACCCCCAACAGGCCTTTTGCAGTGGCATTGGTGTGGATGGGATGCCCACAGACACGATGCACACCCCCAAAGCACCCATGGAGTAATGTGGGCAGCCTGCTGAGCACTGACAACTCTCTACACATCGAACCCTTCCCACCATCTCTCTTTGTTTGGGAGTCTGTGGGCATCTTGAGGCGAGGATGGAGGTAATTTGTCTGTCTCCTGCAGCGGGCTGTCATCTCACATCTGTGAACCAGTTCTATTTGCACTGCTATTAAAAAATCTCAGGTCTGACAGGTAGTAAAAAAAAAAAAAAAAGTAAAAATAAAAGGGAGAAAAGCCTAAAAGAAAAATAAAAAGCAGCTGAGGAACTCCTGGGCAACAGGATGCTGCAAATATCGTGGGCTCATCACATCTGCAACCACCCTCAAATCCAAAGACACAAGCCATATTTCGGCCTTTGGACATACATCCCCAACTCACTTGGGCTTTGAATCTCCATCCCCATCTCATCTGGGCTCCCCAAAAAGGCTTTGTCATCCTTAGAGAGTCCCTGCCCCAACCATGCACCCTGTCTCACTGGCTTGGAGCCATCACAGCGATTTGGGGAATAGCATCCATCGCTGGCATCCCGTTCTGGCTCCTGCATCCGAGCTGGCATACAGAGATGCACAAGGGGTTTATCCTGCACCTACACATGCCACCAGGTCATGGAGCCACACAGCTGGGGGACACCCCACATGTGGGGATGGGGTCTCTGGCATGGTCGGAGCTGTGCGAGTGCTGCCTCGAGGCGTGGGGCTGGCTTGCAGAGGGTTAACAGTTGATTACAGCCTTTGTCTCTGCATCAGTGTACATAATGCGCCCCGCATTTGCATACTGCAGTGTGCGCTCAATTAAAATGAACTTTTAATTTCTTCTAAGTAAATTACTTCTTCCCGGTACGTGACGCGCACAAATGTCAGAATAATGGGAGAGCCTTAATGAGCTGGGAATGAAGGGCGGGGAGGGGAGCGCAGGGGGACCCGGCCCCCCCCGGGCCACCCTCCAGCCTCCCTGCCAAGGGAAAGGATGCATCCTGCCACCTTCTGCCTTCCCCGCTGGGGCTGGGGCATCCCTGCCTCCGGCACGTCCCCTGGGCAGCGCAGGGGTCACTTCCTCCTCCCCATCACCTCCCTACTGCCTGTGTTCCTTAAGGGGCTGAGCTTGCTGGTCCTGCCTGCATCCTGGCACCTATGGATGCGTGGGGACACAGGGACACGGAGCATCCCTGCAAGGGGCTGAGCTCTCTGCGTCCTGCTCGCATCCTGGCACATATGCACCCAAAAAGGCTCCTTGGGGTACCTTCTGCCCTCAGGGACCCCACAGCCCACTCTGCCCTCCCCATGGTGGGTCAGGGACGATGCTCGGTGGGGATGGATCTCTATATCCCCGTGTCCGCGGAGGCCAGATGGCAGGGGAGATTACCAGAATTTGATTTTGAGATAAATCACAGACCTGGATGAGCGAGTGCGGCTCCAGATGCATTATCCGTAATCCCCTGCAAGGGAACCTTTCGCAGGAGACGATCCCCGCGCCAGCTCGGCGGCAGCTTGTTAATCCCGGCGCAGCCCCGGGGGGATCAGCTGCTCTCCGGCCGCACCACGGTGTGTCACCCACGCTCGCCTCGACCCACATTTGGTCCAGCCGAGACCGGGTGGAAGCAGATGGAGCCAGATGGAGCTACACTAGGAGCACACGGGCGACGGGATGAGCCTGTGCCCGTGGTGCCGGTGCCTGGTTGTTGAGCCTGCTCTGCTCAGTGCTGGGGAGAAGGACGAGGGGATGCAGGGGGTCGCTGCTGCGCTCTCCTCATCCCTCGTTCCCCACCAGTGATGCCCAAAGGATCCCAGTACTCCCAGTATGGGGGCCATGGAGAGCCCCACTTTGTTCATCCCCACTGTGCCCAGCCTGCCAACACCAGCTGTGTAGCTTGGTTAAGTTGCAGTGATGCATCTCCACTCATTACACTGATTAACTGGGACATGGGAATGATTCCCAGGACACAGGGCCAACCCTAGCGAAGCAGATGAGGAATAGGAAGGGATATGGTGGCCACAGTCAGGGTCTAGCATCCACAGAGACTGCCTGCATCCCTCTCTAGGGCCACAGTGCTGTCGGCTGCACAGGAGAACCAGCTCCATGGAGCTGGGGAGGGCAGGAGGGTGCAAGTGCTGGTGCCTGGGGCTGTGGCTTGCTCTTGCTCTCTGCTCCAGCATTTGGGGCCATGCTTTGGGGACACATTCAGCTTTTGGGGGTTCTCGGTTGGGCAGCAGCTCCCCTGAATTCATCTGCACCTTGAGGAGCAGCCTCCTGCAGCTCCATCCAAAGCACTAATTCAGGGACCCCCCCGATGCAAACAACCAGTGATGGGATGCAAGGTCCAGCACAAAGCCCCCATCTCCCCACATTGCCCCAGCTGAGCACAGACCCCAGGGCTGACCCTGATTTCCCTGTGGTGGTGGTGGGATCATGCTCACCCAGACACAGGCCATCCATCACACGCTGGCAACGGCAAAATAGGCCACGGTGCATCGCGGCACAGAGCAACCATAACCGGAGGATGCTGCCGATCAATGGGAGCATTAACCTGAGCCTGTGCCCCCTCCCCAGGGGCTGGGGCTGGAAGGGGGGAGCTGGCAGATATTAATTCCTTTCCAGCTCCCAAAGAACAGGAGATGGGAAAAGCCAAGGGGGGAAAGCAAAGCTTTGTCTGGCTGCTCCTGATGTGCTGCTCTAGTGCAGCCTGGGAATGCCACCAACACATGTACAAGGGTAGTCCTTGCATGGATGAACTCTGTCCCCCTTAAGGGGAAGGGCCCCCCAGGCTGGTTGGAACACGGAGCTTACCAGTGTCAGCACATCAGCACATGTGTATTTGTGGGAATCCAACAGAAATACCAACCCATGTCCATTGCAGGACTTCACTTTTGACTTTTCTCCCCAAATCTCCTCTTTTAGCATCCTCATTTACAGGAACTGGTGATCCACCTCCCTGGGCTGGTTTTCCACCTCTCTGGGCTGGTGCTCATCTTCCTTGGCTTGTTTTCCACCACCTGGAATGGTGTCCCATCTCCCTGTTCTGGGGTCCCACCTCCCTGGGCTGTTGGCCCACATCTCTATGCCCCAACGCGATGGAGTCAGGAGGCAGCACCGCTAACCACCAGCACCTCTAAGGGTGGGTATCACCCATCACCTTGTCGCCCTCACCGGGCTCAGTGCCAAACCAGACCCTCCACAGCAGGGTCCCAATGGCAGCCGGTGAGGAAGCGTGTGCCGGCGGCAGCGCGCGGGGGGCGAGGGGGACCGCGCTTTCCCCCCAACGCCAAAATTTACATTGAACCACAAATTAATTTCATAATTTTTTCCTCTCTAATTATGCCAACATCTGCTGCGAGGCCCAAGCTGTGCACATGCATTTTAATACAGCCCTCCCCCCGTCTCTCGACACTGAACTTTGCAGTAATTATCGCCAGGAGAAGGGCTCCTTTCCACAGGAGCGAGAGGCGAGGGCTGACGGCACGTGGAGAGAGGTGCAGGCAGTGTGGGGTAGGCAAGGGCCGTGCCTGGTTCATGGGGTGCTTCCAGGGGAGCTGCAGGCCCCAACAGAGGACTTGCCACAATAAAGGCTGGTTTTGTTTCCAGGAGAAAGGGGAAATGGGAAAGGAGGAGGCTGCTCCAGGTGAGCAAAAAGGCAGCAGGGACCCTACATGTGCAAGGCAACCCACTGCAGTCTGGGCTGGAGTCCAGAGCGATGGCTCTGCCCCAGGGATGCTGCACCATGCCAGGGCTCAGGGTACCACCTCTGCTCCAGGGATGCTGCACCATGCCAGGACTCAGGGTGCCACCTCTGCCCCAGGGATGCTGCACCATGCCAGGACTCATGGTACCACCTCTGCCCCAGGAATGCTGCACCATGCCAGCTCTCAGGGTACCACCTCTTCCCCAGGGATGCTGCACCATGCCAGGACTCAGGGTACCACCTCTGCTGCTCCAGGGATGCTGCACCATACCAGGACCCAGGGTACCACCTCTGCTCTAGGGATGCTGCACCATGCCAGGACTCAGGGTACCACCTCTGCTGCTCCAGGGATGCTGCACCATACCAGGACCCAGGGTAACACCTCTGCTCCAGGGATGCTGCACCATGCCAGGACTCAGGGTACCATCTCTCCCCCAAGGCCAGCCCATGGCTAGAGGTACCCATCCCACTTTGGGGATGGTGAAAGCCCCCTGCCTGTGGAGACCCTGGTCCTGTTTTCATCCTGGTATCTCCAGCTGCACACCCCTGCACTGCAGAACAGGCTCTGAGCACAGCTCTTTGCTCCTCAGTATCCTGCCTGCAACTGGAGGGAAGTGCTGGGAATGTGTGAGGCCTGGGGGTCCCCATGCTCAGCTTCCAGTGCACCATCCCCTGGGCTTGTCTTTATCACCCATGGGTTCTGATGAAGCTGGAAGCGTGGCAGCCCCCTCCTGTCCTCTGCTGTGTGTTTGCTCCCACTCAGGGAGATGTTTCATGGCCTCAATGGCAGATGCAAAAGGTCATTTGGCTGCCGAGTAATTAAAACCTGGCAATTATCAATTTAGAGCAGCAAGCTTCTGGCCGGATGAGTGCTCCATTCCTCCTGTGTGAGCTGCAGGATGCAGTCAAGGGGCAGAAACAGGTAAAGCACTGGAGAGGGGATGGGAGCACAACGCGTGTCCCCCGTGCCAGGGCCTCACCTCTGCACAGGCAGCTCACTGGAGACCCCACTGGGATGCTGTGCTCTCATCAGGTAGTTCATCAAGTGTGCCTATGGCACGGCCCGAGGCACCCGCCACCCTATGGAGCATCACCCTAGGGTGCAGCGGGGACACCGAGCACCCTGTGGGGCCGCAGCGCGGTGGCAGCCCAGGTGTGGCGGCAGGAGCGGGGCTGCGTGAGCCCCGTTGTGCTGCTGCCGCCCGCCCGCCGCGCCGCCGGGAACAGATGGCAGGCGACAGAAGCTGCCGATGAATAATACACGTGTAATGAGCTCCGGTCCCCACGCTGCCCGCCCCACATGGCCTGCCACTCGCACCAGCCCTGTGCCAGCGTGCCCCTGATATGTGCCTGGCACCCATGGGTCCTGCCCCATATCATGATGATGCTGTCATGTGCATGGCATCCATGAGTCCTGCACCATACCGTGGTGATGCTGACAAGTGCCTGGCACCCAGGGATGCTGCCCCAAACAATGATAACTGTGCCAAGTGCATGGCACCCATGCATCCTGCCCCATGCCAGGCTGTTCATAGCATGCACAGGGCACCCATGGCTCTTGTCCCATACCGGGATGACTCTGCTATGTGCCTGACACCCATGGATGCTGCCCCATACCGTGGTGATGTTGTCATGCACGTGGCACCCATGGGTCCTGCACCACACCATGCTGCCCCTCACATGTGCATGGCACCCCTGGATCTATAGCAGGGTGTGCCTTGACATGCATCTTGCACCCATGGATCTATCCCAATGCCATGGTGTCCACAATGGGTCCTGCCCCATACCAGAGTACATTATGCCATGAGGCCGGCACCCACAGGTTCTGTCCCATATCATGATGACCCTACCATGAGTCTGTAACCCATGTGTCCTGCCCCATACAATGACGACTCAGCCGTGTGCCTGGTGCCCATGGATCCTGCCCCATACCAAGACGCCCCTGCCATGCACGTGGCACCCAGGGGTCCTGCTCCATACCAGAGTATACTGTGCCATGCACCTGGCACTCACAGATCCTCACAGTGCTGGGCTGCCCCTACCACCCTGTGGTACTGAGGCAACAAGGTGACATAGAGAGCATGCCAGGGACCCCCCGAGCACTCCAGACATCTTGCCTGAAGATGCTGTGGTGTTACCAGGCAGTGCCTCTCTCATGGAGCTGGGAGGGGAGGAGTACATGGGTGCTATGGCAGCCAGCACCCGTGCCATGGGACCAGGAGCAGAGGAGGCAGGATGCGGTTCAGCTGCCAAAGCACTGCTCAAGACATCACTGATGAGGCACCACCTAATGAAGGCTCTGGGGAGGGCTGCTCCCCTGTTTTGGGGCTTTGGCTGATGCGTGTGGTTGGACTTGATCTGATAGATCTTTTCCAGCCTGGTTGATGCTGTGATTCTGTGTGGGAAACCAGCATCACTCCGGGTGTGGGAGCCCTGGGTTTGTCCTAGTCAGGAGCACGCAGCCGAATTTTCCATCATCCTGGCTCTCAGGATGCTCCAGTCCCCAGCTCAGAGGGATTTGTGCCTCCATGCCCTTATGCCCCTGCCCAATCTCCTCCCGGCCATCAGCATCACCCTGCAGCAAAGCTCCCTCCTTGCTTCTCCCCTTGGCTCCCGATCCCTGCCCGTAGCAGCACAGTGGGTACCTGCAGCCAGCTCCTTGGTAAGGAGAGGAGAGGGTGGAAAACAAAACGCTGATGGATTGTAAAGCTATTGAAGTGCCGGCGAGTAAACTCCATATTTTTAACGGCATTTAAATGCCTCCAAGCAGATTAATAAGGTCTAGGTAATAGCAGAACCAGTCTATATTTATTCTATCTTAAACGCCAGTTTGTCAGGCTGTATTAATATTGATGGTAAGGCTTGGATTGAGGACAGTAAACGCTGGGACTTCACTTTATCTCTCCCAAACAGGCTGCCTCAGCCCCTTTATCAGGGCTGCGGCTGCGGCAGCAGCTGCCTCTTCAAGGGCTCAGCGCATCCCCTCTCCCCCCGCTCCCTCTTTTTAATCAGAGGAGAAGTTGCTGGCTTGATCGTTCCATTTTTATCTCTTTTATTTACTCCATTTTCATGTCTTTCAGTGCATATTTTATTCCCATCAAGGCAGGACCATTGATAGCTTAAGCTGTCCCCCCCTCGGCTCCCCCCATGCAGCGTGATGGGGAAGGACAAGGGGTAATTACCAGCGAAGTGTCCATCCCCCCCAGCCTCCCCATGGTGGCCACACTCAGCGTGGCCCCCCAGGAAGGATGAGCTGCCATTTGTGGGGGGCTGGGGGAACCCCAAGGTCCAGCTGAGCTGTGGGGTTTCCCCCCCAGCACCTGCTGCCCCCCAGCTCTATGAGCATCTCTCACTGCTGCTGCAGAGGGTCCCATCCCCGCTTCCATCGGTGTCCAAAGCAGCCCACAACCAATCCCCCCCCTCCCATTGGCACAGCCCCAGCCATGCTGTGGGGCAGCACCCGGCACATCGGCACCCTAAGAATGCTTCTACAGGGGCTGTGTTTCCTGGGGCTGTGCCACATGGGGTGACCCCACTTGAGTACCACGGGGTAGAGGGGTACCACGCTGGTACCCAACGCGGGATGCTCGGTCTGCGATGGGAGCTGAGTACAAACCCATTTTCTTCCTGAATATTCCCCAAAGCCCAGATTCCAGCCCGGCTCTTCCCTGCCAGCATTTGAAATTCAAAGTATGCTCTGTCTTGATTAGTGCTACAAATCATCCAGCTGGGGAGCAGCCGCGCAGCCACGTGGCTGGGGCGCGGGACCGGCACGGATGGCATCGCCTCCCCGATCCCGGGCTCTGAATATTCACAGCAAACTGTTTGTGCAGCCCTTTCCCCTCCAAGAGTGGGAAAAAGCGATGCAAAGAGATTTGCAAATGCTTTCAGATGGGGGCAAGGCGCTGGAGCTCGGCTCCGCCGGTAATGAATGCGGAATAATTGTAATAAATGCTAATTGCAGGAGGAGGGTTGCAGCCTGCCACAGGTTTTAAAGATAGTCCGTAAAAACCCATGTCGGGAGCAGGACAAGCTTTGGGTCCTGCTCTGTGCATCCCTGCTGTCTCGCCCTGGTGGTCAGTGGCTCCATGGGCATCATTTGCTGACCACCATGGGCACTGTGGCTGGAGCGGCTCCTGCTCCCCATCGCCCTCCATCACCAGCAAAGCAAACAAGTTGAATTGAACAGCCATTAGTCCTGGGAACATCAAAGGGCTCCTGCACTGGAAAATGAAAATCCTCATTAACTAATAAAAAGCCCATCGCTCACTCTGCCTTTGATATAATTAACGCAGCCAAGGCTTCAATTAAGGTTTTCTCCGAACTTCAAAATGCCGCTCTTTCTCTCTGCAATTACAAGGGGCACAGAAGCACCTTCAATGGGGCTTCTCCGGCCATGCACACGCGTGTGGATTCACCCACACCACCAACCACGCACATGTGCGTGCTCTCAGCCTGTGCCACCCCAGGGACAGCATCCCAGCCGAGGATGCAGCGCGCGGTGGGCTCGTACATCCCAAATAGGAAATGTTTGTGGAATGGTGCTTGGCAGGAGCCGGGTGTTTTGCCGGGCTGCTCTGACTTCAGCAGGGAAATATGCTGCTGGCGGGGAGCAGCGGTGCCGAGCGATGGGAACGGGCCAGTTCTCACCACCCTCTCCCCATCCCGTGCAGCTGGGATGGATGGGAAAGGCCAGGGGGCTGGCGAGCGTCGCGCCGCGCTGTCGCAGGGGTATGTCACCCTGTCCCCCCCACCAGGACCCCCCACCAGGACCAGGAGGTGACCCCGATGTCACACTAAGGGAGGGTGGCAGCGTTGGATGAGCACCCCGAGCTTGCCCCAGTGGCCAAGGGAGGATGCTGTGGGCAGCAAACCTCTGCCACCCTGCCCAGCACCGCGCCACCGGCACCGCCATGGCCATAGGAATGGTGTTCCCAGGCACAGCCCCTGGCGCTGCTCTCGCCTGACTGCACAGAACAGCCTGTCCTCATGCCTCCAAGCAGAAACAAGAGAGACATGTTCACTTTAGAAAGGAAAATAGTGACTCCGTGGTTTAGTGCTTACATACACACAAACCACAACTTTTACAGACCTCTTTTCTCTTTCCATTGACCCAATAAAACACTGGCTATGTTTTCACCCTGTCTTCTTCACAGCTCCCGGCCTGGCTTTCCCACATGTCACCCTTTGCAACCCTGAGGCTGTGAGATGTCCTTCCCCCAGTCCCCCAGTAACGCCACCAGCTTTGATTTGCAGACCTCAGGACCCTGGGATGCTCTTAGGGCCGGAGCTGGGAACCTTTCCCTCATCCTCAGTGGAGGCAATAGCCACAGCTCAGTGCTAGAAATAACCTGAGGAGCTATTTCCAGCTACTTTCCCTGAGCTGCAGGGTGGTGCTGAGTGCCCCAGGGAGATGCAGGGATGCTGGGTGGTCCGGGAGATGCCTGAGCACCCCAGGGATGTTGGATGCCACAGGGATATGCAGGAGGATGCTGCATGCCCTGGAGATATAGAGGGATGCTTGAGCACCCTAGGGATGCAGGAATGATAGGTTCCTTGGGGGTGCAGGGATGCTGTGTGCTCCAGGGATCCAGGGGG